TTTATGAGATTTAAAATGAATGATTAATTTCACTTTCAGTTTGCTCAAGGTAAATCTAAAGAAAATTAAGTTTTTCGTGAAGAATCAGGTTCGAATCCTGAAGCGTCCAAAGTTTTTGTCCAAAAAATCACATGTTATATTTAAAATGTATTAGGAAATGGCATCTCAATTTTTCATCTCGTATTCGCTTAGCTTATTTGAGATACTGGTTTCTAAAATATCAAAGTGTCTAAATATACTCGTACTACGTGTTTTAGGATTTAAACATTCTAAAAAGATTGAGTGTCTGACGATGATAGCCTCATCAGATTTCTAATTTGGGTTCAAAGGTAAGTTATAAGTCGATAGGAGACTAAATTCACGTCGATTACAATCGCTGCTCCGATATCAGAGGCTATGCTTTATCTATGCATTTGTCGATATTAAGTGCAGAAATTAGCAAATGGGAAGTAAATAAGTAATACATAGGTTTCATCAAAACGTAAAATAGTTGCGTATTTAATGATTAGTAAAATATTTGTTGATACAGATTAATTTGCAGCACAATCGAAATTAACTCTTACTGGAATTAGAATTATTTCTTTTTCTTATCGCGCCTTTAATTAGAAATTATGTTTTTAATATTTCAAGGTAATTACAGTTTTGTGAAGATAAGTTGATGGATTAAATAAAATTCTATAAGAAATTTAACAAAATTTTTGTAAACTATAACCAACACGCCTGTGGACTTCAGGTGTCTTCTTCTACCTAGCATTTATCCCAGCAATTGCCAGGGTCTGCTTTCCTACTTAATCTCCTCCACTTTGCCCGATCTTCGACATCCTCATGGGTCAGTCCATTGGCTCTCATATCCTGCTTCACAACGTCCAGCCATCGCTTCCTTGGGCGGCCAGGAGGTCTAGCTCCCGGGACAGGCATATCAAGGCATATCCTTCCGACATATTTTTCCGACCGGCGTGCGACATGGCCATACCATCTCAGCCGCCGCTCTTGGTGCTTATCCGCTACGTCACGGACCCCGAGACTGCCTCGAATGAATGTGTTACTTATGCGGTCAGCACGCGTGACACCGCACATCCATCTTAGCATCTTCATCTCCGTGACGTGAAGCTCTTGAGTGTGCCGAGATAGCGCTGGCCAGCACTCGCTACCGTACAGAAGTACAGGTCGGATGATGCTCTTGTACACCTGTCCCTTCAGCTTGGGTGGTATCCTGCGGTCGCAGACCACACCTGTGACCTCTCGCCACTTAGCCCAAGCAGCGCGTATCCGGGCTTGGACATCATGGTCGATGCTTCCGGGACTCGTGCAAAACAGATCCAAGGTACCTGAACGATTCCGACTTAACGGCTGGTTCAGAACCTATTTGGATCGTGCTAGAGTCCGAACTCCCACAAGCCATATACTCGGTCTTCGCCACATTGAGTTTAAGACCGTCGTTCTCAAGCGTACCCTTCCAGAGATTTACTTTTCGCTCCAGTTCCAGCCGGCTCTCGTCAACGAGCGCTATATCATCGGCATACATCATCAGCCATGGAGGCTGGTCCTGAATGTGAGCCGAGATCACATCTAGCACTACGTTGAACAAGAACGGACAAAGCAGCTAGCCCTGAACAAGAACGGGAAGGGTTTGGTATCGCCAACAGCGGCCCTAACCATGGACGCGGAATTGTGGTACATGTCTCTGATAATGTCAATATAGGCCTCAGGGACGCCTTTGGATCGCAATGCCCACCAGATACCCTGACGAGGTACACAGTCAAAAGCCTTCTGCAAATCCAGGAATGCTAGATGCAGAGCTCTCCTTTTCTCCCTGTATGCCCCCATCAAAGTTCTGAGAGCAAAAATGGCATCCACGGTGCCTGAACCTGGTTGAAACCCATATTGACACTCAGAGACAGCACACTCTCGGCGAAGCCTGAGATCGATGATCGCAATCCTGAACACTGCCCCTCCCTTTGTAAATAGGGGTTATAAAACTGAAACGCCACTGATTCGGCATCTTTCCAGTGTTCAACATACGGTTGAAGAGATCAGTAAGCACGTCCACACCAAGGGAGCCCAACGATTTCCATGCTTCGATCGGTATGTCGTCAGGCCCGACCGCTTTCCTGTTATTCATGCGGCGGAGACAGTCCCGAGCTTCGTCAGGTGATATCGGGGCAATAAGTCCGAGGTTTGGGGGCGGTTCGGATGGAAGGCTGTGCGGGTGGTGATTGTTCAGTAAACCCAGGAAGTAGCTTCTCCATCTATCCTTCACAGAGGAAGGATTGCACAGCAGCATTCCTTGGGAATCCCTGTGGACTTCAGGTGTGAACAGTGAAAACCGTTTCGATCTTACCCACTACGTGTTATCCACATCCATATGCAAAGTAAATATCACAATACTATATATATCGTGAATCATGAAAGATAATTTACACACTTATTAGATATGGAAAGGAGAAATTGTTCTCATATTAAATCATCGCTTCAAAAACATTGATAAATTCAAATTAAAGTATTTACGACGACCATAACCTAGTGCCTCAATGATTCGCTTCTGAACCACGATACCGCAGTTTGAAACCGTCCACGCACTTTATGAGACATAACACATCATTGAGTACAGTTATTGAGGAAATAGGCATGTTATACGTGGTCTCATTTAACATTAATTTACGAGGTTGTTTATAGATTAACTATATTGTGACATACCGTACCGAAAGGTTAATTAGCGTTTACTAACATAAAAATAGCTCAAGGCGCAATTAAGGTTGCTTATGAAATTAAATATAAAGTGTCTATTTTATTATTACTACATGGAATGAAATGAAATTTATTTGCGTGAATACAGAAGCGCGATAATTTCTTACAATGATATTTTAGCGCCGATATATGGTAAAAAAATAACATTCGTCAACATCATATAAAGTAGATTTTATAGCCCTAACTCAAATATAATAAAGTCAATTTCATATAATTTTCTATAGCATAATTTAATTAATTAATGTAATTGCAGTAAATAATTACATAGTAAGTCTAGGAAAATATAAAATAAATAAAGATTTAATTTATTCTTTAAACATTATTTTTATAGATTTGATATGATAGTAACATTTTCTTATGATAGTAACACTTTTTGAGTAGAAATAAGTTTTGTTTAAACATTTATTGGTATAATGGTGGGTCTTTAAAACAGCCAGGAATGACCTTTACTGCCATGAAATGTCCTTATTTTGATACCGACTAAGTTAACATTTTGGGAATGAAAGTTTGTGTTTAAATCATTTTGGTTTATGCGCCTGTGAGATTTATAAAATATGAGTAATGTTTACATACAAACAGGCAAATTTCTTTATGTACATCCATGAGAGAGATAATAAGCTCAATCTTTTAAATATATGTACATAGGTTTACAAGTATCTAATTAGAATAAATCAGTTATCACACTGTGACCTTTCCCTTGTATAGGTAACATAAGGGCGATCATCAATAGCATAATTAATAATATTATATTTCATGAGAGCTTCTCAAAATTGGCAGTTGAAGGAAGTTTTTATTGCTACTGAGAAGGCGTGGGAATGTAAAATGGGCACAGATAAAACAATCTTGAGACGAGCAAGGCAACCATAGATTCAATGACACACTTTGACCAACAAAGATGGCTGCCACAATGGCCGTCATCGACTATTGTATTCTCATCGGTGATTGTATGAAACGCTTGAAACCTATCGCCCGAAGATACCTATTACATAACGAACTAAGAATGTTTTATTACGTATATCGTATTATATACGTATTAAATGTATGAAGAATGACACTTGTGTGAATTAGAAAATAGTAGAGCCTCGAAATATTTTTTTCAATATACACTGACAGCTGTTTTTTATAGAACCGGAAAACAAATGGCATACCAATGTGATTTAATGTTCCACGGAGAATACTTTTCAATGACGTTTATAAATATAATTAAAACTTTTTTCGAATTCGAAGCATGTTTTTTTAAAGAACAACGGACTGAACGTAATAAAGCGATTGCCATTTACCAAAATTACAAATTTTCAAGCATGGCAAGCAATGGTTTGATAACTCCGTTACCAATATACGCGCTGAAGTACGAAGTTTCTTGAGGCAACTATGACAAAGCGAAGAAATCAAACCGGTATGGATTTTCGCGGTATCATGAGGTAACATTTTCTCGGCAACAGTTAATGTCTAAAGTTCGGGTTAAGGGCAAGATCAAGAGTGGAGAGTGTGGGACCAATCATAATCGTACTGAAAATTTGTTTGCACAAACCAATAATCGTTCTGATTGCGTACTAATTCAAACTTATTTAAATATTTGTGAAAACGTAATACAAGACATCTCTTAATATTACAGCAGAATGGGATTGACATGTTATTAATAAATGAAATAATAATTATTTTTAAATTAATTATATACATTAAAACCGTAAACTGTAATGAGCAATTTGATACACTTAAAATGATGCACTCAATATAAAGAAACGCAAAATATTTCATAGATGTTGGACACTACGGTTATCGTGAAAACTCAATTTCAGCGTTCTCTGAATTGAGGCGCAGCACTCGTCCGTGCTGTATTCGGTAAATATTTTTACAACCGGACCTACATTATTAATCAATCGCGATTTAATTGAAAATATCAATGTTTTCATTCCAGAATCCAATCGTTTCAAAATCACATACCGAGCGTCTGTTGATTCAGCACTTCATACTTTCAAAGAAAGCAAGTGATTTCGAACAATTGCGATTGTTATTTTTAGGACATAAATATGACAAAGACTTATAATTTCTTGTTCATTTACTCGATTACCCACTACTAAATGAAACCATTCTTAACATACAGGAGTAATTGCCGTGACCAATGCTGAAGGGTTCGAAAGGTCGAGAACTAAAATCAAACAAATAAACGCGATAAACCCTATAGTTTAATTTAGCGTGACAAAGACAACAAGCACGCACACCAAAAACGAGCACTGAAACGTTTCCAATACCTCGTTCTCATCGTTGGGCCGGCGGCAAAGGCAGAAATGCTTCAGCCTGTCTACCGAAGAGCAACATCTGGAAGTGTCCAACAAATACGCGTTCAACGTCTGCAGCACCTTCGCCATTTTGTGCGATTCGAAAAAGGAACGCGCGCGAGGCGCATCGCGCGGGAAACGTCACGGGGCAAAATATTGACGATTGGCGGGTTTCGCGCCTAAAATGATGCGACGGCTCTTTGTCCGTGCAACTTTAGTGCTATTACGTGCGAACGGTCGAGAGCTGACGCGAGCACTGGCGTTATCAGAAGCAGGCTATCGCGATCCTCGGATTTGTCACGGCAGATATGGTTACGCGCGGCGTTTTCAGCCGGCGATAAGGCGATTCACGGGGGCGTATTCGACGCGCCGGCCGCTCTGCGTGCCTTTCTGTGCGGTTTGTTTCGTTTCCCTCGCTGTACTTGATGTGCCGTTCGGTTCTTGTAATAGAAACCTTCATTAGGCCTTCAAAAAAGGGTTGTTGAACTTTTTTTGAAACCACTTTTAAAGCCACTTGAACTTTATCAATAAATAATTGATTGTTAGTTTTGTGCTAGAAACATGAAAACTTTTTTATTATTCTTCTCGTAGAATCGTTTTTGAAACACTGGCAAAACGTTCGGTTTCGAGTGTAACAGGTGTTTGACCTTGAATTGATATCGATATGGTTGATAAGCGAAGGTTGAACCTTCGCTTATGTATACAAAAGATAATACAACAGAACAATAAAAAAGAGACTTAGAATAATGCACTGATTTTTATATTTTATTTGAAAAGGTAAAAGGAATAAATCAGTCGAATTAATCAATTGATTTTACAATTATTATGCACTTGGCATTACTACGTTTTAATATGAAGCGATTTGGTTTAAAGAGTCGTTCAAACTACCTTTGTGAAGCCCGTTTCAATTGAATCCCTAATGGAATCTATAGTGAATTAAATGCAAGTTGTTTTCTTCCGATCAAGAATGTAACTGTCGCTTGTTAAAAGTTAAACGAAACGAAATTAAAGGAAATCTAATCGGAAGCTACGTGTCATCCGGAGTTTAACTGTTGTCATAAAGTGAATACTGCGATGGTGTTGTCGCTTCGATGATTAGATGTCTATCCTATAGTAGGTGAGGAGGAGGACTTAAGCAAGTAATTTGTTTTTTCGTATCTTTTATTCCTATCATTGACTCGTTTACCGCTATAAGGTTCGAAAAGCGCAGCCAATTGGTATTCAAATCCAAATATATTTTTTCAACATGTGATAGTAAAAATATTACCACCGGTTCAGAAAAGAAAGCCACTGACCCGAGAAGAAACTCAGCGGTCTACTTTTTTAACCGACTTAAAAAAAGGAGGAAGTTTCTCAATTCGACCGTATATATTTTTTCTTTTTTTATGTGTTTTCGGGATAAATTCGTCATTTATGAACCGATTTTGATGATTCTTTTTTTGTTGGAACGGAGATACTCCAATGGTGGTACCATGATAAGGAAACCCAGATCTAATGATGGCATTCCAGAGAAATTGAGGGCAATCCTCAAATGTTATAGGCGTTGACAATGTTTTATTAGTTTCCTGTTTGAAGTCGGTTTTATTTTTGTTCAAAATTATTACTTGTTTCCATATTTTGATATATATTGTGCGACATGGATATATTAAATACAACATTAAGAGCCCGGTTGAACGAGCCAGGAGCGATAGGAATTGTGGGCGGAGCCTGGTTTGATAGGAATTATCTGTGATAAGCTGCTAGCGTTCCAAACGAAAACAATGTAATTGACCTGTGTGATTAATTATGCACAAGTTGATTTATGTACGCACGCGTACGCACTAAGACTCGAGTTCCGCAACATCTTAAGCAACTTTCAATTACACGTCACATTACTTCGTGACGCGGACAAACAGATTAGCATCGCTTTTATAGTTGAATTGCGACACCACAGCACTGGTGGGTTGATTTTATTGGCTAATGTCCTAATATCTATCAATCACTACACAACTACTGCGTTTGGTTGTCTGACAATTGGTATTTGTCGTCGTCGATACAAAACAGAATTATCTATCAGTAGGGTAAGCTTAAAAACGAAAAATTTACCAAAAATAGATCGCAATCGGCACGGTTGCCCATTTCTACGATTAAAATAAATTAATATACTACAAAAAAAAATCGGTTGTAAGACCGGACATCCTAAGTTAAGTAAAATTCAATGGTTTTGTACTTAACTTACAAAAAACATGACTTAGCTCCATACGTACAACTTTGCAATATATTTTTTATAATAAAACTAGCGGAACCAACAGACATTATCCTGTACACACGACTTAAATCCGACAACGTATAAATAAAAAAAAAGCAAAAAAAAATAAATTGTGAATCTAAACCATTCTGGAATCGACCTGAAGACACAAAAAATTCATTAAAATCGGTCCAGCCGTTTAGGAAGAGTTCAGTGACAAAGACACGTACAGAAGAATTATATAGATATATATATATATATATATGACATATATATATATATGACGTTGTTGACTATCATCTTTATATATATATATATATATATATATATATATAAAGATGATAGTCAACAACGCTTGTATCCCAACGCTTATATTATAATTTCTGCACATTCCCTATCTTTGCAAAATTGGAAATCATACAAACGTCTTCGAGTGCTTCGTTATTACACGTACATATCCGTACATAAACAGGTGGGAGCTAACAAAAACGTGTTGCAAAAATAGAAACAGCTGCGCTGCACGAGATCAGAACAGGTGTGCCAGGTAGGCCCACGTCTCGACCTAGGCTGCAGATGCAATACCTATTTAGGTCTCGACGGGATGCCCTGGCATGATGCATTCGCTCTCGATACCGTTCACCGCGGCCCAAAAATTTTAAAGTAAAGAAACTAAAATACCAGCCCATACATGTACCACGGCTGGGCAAAGGCCTCCTCTGTACAGGGGGTAACAGGCCATAGTCCACCACGCGGATTGGCGGACTTCACAAATTCTCGAAATATTTTTTTTATTTTTTGGTATATATGCAGCTTTCCTCACGACGTTTTTGTTCACCGCTGAGCACGCGATATGTCAGCACTTTATTTATCTAAGAATTTCTTTGGTGCCTACAGCGAGGATCGAACTCAGGTTGCTCGAGTATATTGAATTAAAGACGAACGCCCGGACACTGAGCTATCACGGCTCTTATATAAAAGGCTTACAGAAAATCGCTTAGATCCGATAAAATTAGCTATCTTCTCCCACCGCAGCAAGTTGGGATAAAGCGAGCTTAATAAGATCATTCAAAATAGGTTAAGAGGACTATGCCCTAAGCTGCAACGGATGGCGATTATCTTAAGTTAAGAGCATTAGGCAAAGTTGCATCTTAATAACGAGACAGATAGACAAATACTGCGTAAGAATTGCGCGTCATGACTGCTAACCGTTACCTTCGGGACGAAACAAAATCATTAAATTTTCTAATTACCTTTTACCTGAGAACTGCAATCAGAGTTAAATACCGACATAAACGCAAGTGCAAAAGGATAATTCGTTGCCAACATTTCAAAGTAATTTTCCTCTCGACACTGTTATGTTTCTTAAAAAACTGGCGAAGTGCGAGTCGGACTCGCGTACTTAGGGTTCCGAACCATTATTTATAAAAACGGCAAAATATCATGTCTGTCGCATGGGGCCTCACTTTAATATTTTTTAATTCTGTTTTTTTAATATGTTTTTGTTATAGCGGCAACAGAAATACGTCATCTGTGAAAATTTCAACTGTCTGACTATCACGGTTCATGAGATACAGAGAACCCTAACAAGTTAAACAACAAATTAGGGCACGATTAAGCGGGATTTCTCGGGCGAGCCCGCCGTGTGCGGTCGGACCTCAACACACTAAGTAATTACTGTCCACACGTGGCCCCGTCATAATTTCCTCTTTCCGTTCAACCACTTCTCGTCACCGTGAGCACGAAACTCGGACACAAAAGGTAATAAAGAGAGATATTTAACAAGGTCACGGCGAAACGGACCTCTTGTCCACAGAACCACAGATTAAAGGAGACAAAGGGTTTAACTAGATCCTTTACCCGTATTTAGTGCGGTCAATTGAAATATCATCGAGAGCACATGTAACTGTGGTAGGGCCACGCAACAGTCTTCATTGCACGAATGGGCAGATCCCTTCGGGTAAGTACCACGACTTCAAAGAAGACCGGCGTGAGGTGGAAGTGTTATACTTCTGCGCCCCATCAAAAAGTTGCAACGCATCTGCTGGAGTTGCAAATGTCAATGGGCGGCGGATATCACTTAACAACAGGTGAACCGCCTGCTCGCTAGGCCTTCATCATTTTTTTTAATTCATTAAATGATAAATCAGAGAAACTCTATCGCTTTTGATTTACCATCGACATCCTTATGTCAGTTAGACCGGCATACAGCTAGATATTATTATCAATATTCTGAAATAGTGAAATGTAAGGCTTGTTGCTTATAAAGGATGAAATGCAAAATTATTTCAACCAGTCCAAATGTTAGCACTCGTTTCCTTTCCTAATCCTCGTTAATAAAGATGTACGTATCTAATAATTTATTTAAAAGGCAGACTTTCAAGAAAAAGCGGTGTGAGCATATAATCAGATGAAATTATTTTAAACTGGGTCAATAAAAGCGAGAAATGACCACCTCAGATCGACAAAAATAAAATTTGTAAAGTCCTAACTATTATAAGGTAGCATATTCATATTTTAGCATCTTTAATTTTTAAAACATGACATCCTGTGAGTTTAATCTCTGTCACAGCCCATTTAAAACGGAACACTTAACCTAAACCGTTAATTCAAGAATATAATATTTCCATTACCGCCGTGTTTTTGCAATTGGAGCAAGCAACGTTTAATATGTAAGCGAGCAATGTTTCAACACATAAACTCTGCACTTTCTTTAGCGAGATTGCGAGAATACTATAGCGGTAACTGTAATAGGTGAGTTTTAAAGTAAATAACTAAAAGTAAAGTGCTCATACATGGGCGGAGGCCTCATATGTACAGAGCGTTATACAGAGCGTTATTTTTAATAAATAATATTAAACGATTG